GAGTGTTGGACTGTGAGTAGTCTTGAGTAATGGTAACATAGTGGTAAATATAGACATCAATGAGTAGTGTTTGAAGGTGAGTGTTGGACTGTGTGTAGTCTTGAGTAATGGTAACATAGTGGTAAATAAAGACATCAATGAGTAGTGTTTAAAGGTGAGTGTTGGACTGTGTGTAGTCTTGAGTAATGGTAACATAGTGGTAAATATAGACATCAATGAGTAGTGTTTGAAGGTGAGTGTTGGACTGTGTGTAGTCTTGAGTAATGGTAACATAGTGGTAAATAAAGACATCAATGAGTAATGTTTAAAGGTGAGTGTTGGACTGTGAGTAGTCTTGAGTAATGGTAACAGTGGTAAATAAAGACATCAATGAGTAGTGTTTAAAGGTGAGTGTTGGACTGTGAGTAGTCTTGAGTAATGGTAACATAGTGGTAAATATAGACATCAATGAGTAATGTTTAAAGGTGAGTGTTGGACTGTGAGTAGTCTTGAGTAATGGTAACATAGTGGTAAATAAAGACATCAATGAGTAGTGTTTAAAGGTGAGTGTTGGACTGTGTGTAGTCTTGAGTAATGGTAACATAGTGGTAAATATAGACATCAATGAGTAGTGTTTAAAGGTGAGTGTTGGACTGTGTGTAGTCTTGAGTAATGGTAACATAGTGGTAAATAAAGACATCAATGAGTAGTGTTTAAAGGTGAGTGTTGGACTGTGAGTAGTCTTGAGTAATGATAACATAGTGGTAAATATAGACATCAAGGAGAAGCATTTTAATGTAAATGCTGGAGTGTTTGCTACGTATCCTTGAGTAATGAAACATAAACATCAAAGGGTAGTTTCAATGTTAGTACTGGACTGGGAATCACTGAAGCAACAGTAACTGCACCAGATTACTGACATTAACCCATAGTTGTTTTTTTGGCACATTTCCAGGCAACAGTGTTATTATACTGTTCTATAGCAGTGATTCTCAACCTTCCTAATGCCGCGACCCTTTAATACAGTTCCTCATGTTGTGGCCACCCCCAGCCATACAATTATTTTGTCGCTACTTCATAACTTCAATAAATATTTGTTTTGCCATGGTCTTTGGCGACCCGTGCGAAAGGGTCATTCCACCCCCCGAAAAAGGGCCCCGCTCACCTTAAGAACAGTCTTCCACTACCACAGCACAAGATTTCAGACCCTTGTTGCGATCACATGTATTTAACAAGCTTCTTCTCAGACACTCAGCTCTTAAAGTATCTGCAATCACTTTCTCTTTATCACTTTATCCCTTCCTGATTTTCCCGCTCCTCCTGGCAACACGGCCCATGACAACCTGTTCCCCCGAATTCATCTCAATGCAAACCATGGCACAAGAAGTACTGAAGGAAGGACTGAACTATTCTCCCCACCAGTACAGCTCTAAACAATGACCACCAGTAAACTGTCTTAGTACTACTTAGCTACCCACCAAAGAGAAACACAAGCAGAAGAAACATCCCCACGTGAAAAAAAAATGGCCTTGCAGACCCGAACCAGCACAGAAACAGGTGGCATGTGTATGAAGTCAAAGCAAGTCAGATGTAACCTTACGCCTCAAGAAAAGACAAATAAAAACCGCAAAGAACCAAGGACTCAAATATAACCAAGCTCTCATGGCAGGTTGAACAAGTCTAACATTTTTTTTCTCCTGATTACAAACTAGCCAAAACCATTCTCTGAAAATATAAATGCATCCAGCATAATACTAAAAATAGAAGCAACAGAAATGAAATGTCTACAACAAATCCTAAACGCAACAAACAGAAACACAATCAGAAATGATGAAATGTGGAACCAGTACATCAAGAGACAACTGATCAAATGGTCTGGACATGTGTTAGGACTACTACCAAATAGTGCTCACAGAGAGCCCTGACACTTAGGCACAGCAGAAGCACAGCTAGAGGTTGACCATGCAAGCGACTGATAGATGAAATCTCTGAGGCCGTAAATACCAGCATTTATGTAGCACATACCAGTCTTGTAGCCGATGCCTCTTCAAAACCTGACGCTGAAAGGAAGAACAATACTAAAGAAAAAGAAGCCTAACAATGTCTGTGTGCCCCCCTCTCTCTCTCTCTTAACAACAACCAACAAATGCTAACACCATATCATCAATATTCCAGGATGGCACAGAGCAGCATTATTTTAATGTAATAAAATAATCGTTAGCTGCTAACTTCTATCACAGGACAAGCAGCAGACAGTCAACTGTAATCACAACAGCCAAACTAATATCAATGGTAGTCCAATGTTTCACAAACATTGTAAAAACAATTCCTGACATATCTGCAAACAATTCCTGACATCCAGACAAAATATATTAAATTTACCATCATGACAGTCATACGTTTTTATCTCCAACTGGAAACAAAAGTAAAGTGCACATGTTCAATAAATTACATGTTTTTACCACTGCGCCTATTGGGTATTGTAAAAATATAATCAATGCCCCCCCTGTGGGACGCATTTTTGGGGCGTTATTTTGAAGCCCCACCTTGGCTTTTGCCAGGGGCCCTAAATATAGCCGGGCCTTATAATATGGCCTAATGGCTGAAGAGGGTTTCCAGAACCTCTCCATGGGTGATCCTCATAGTGGCACTTTGTGTCACCGGGTGTTTATCGCTTGTGTGATGTCCTGGTGGGGTATAACTTACATACAAACATACCACTGCAACTCCATTTGCAAAAAGCTCTTAATTATCACGTGTTATTGTGAAAGTGAAGGACAGTTCTCCCGACACTAGTGCACTGGGCATATGATGCTAGACCCCCCCAGTTTATACAGATCAACTGTCACTCAATGGGTAAACGTTAAGGACCCTTTTCCACACCTTCAGGCGTACTGGGCATATAGGGCTAGACCTATATTTTATAGACCAAGTGGCACTTGGTCGGTGATGTGGTTAACATCACCCTGACCACCTTTACTTCCCAGGACTTTAACTGGTACCCACTTCAGGTTGGGCTGACCTAGAAGCCAATGTCATTTTTGAAGAAAAAAAGTCTGGCTCCGTCAGGACCTGAACCCCTAACTTTCCGATCCACAGGCGAGCTTCTAGCCACTACACTATGACGTCCCACCCGCATGTAATGAGCAATATATATATACACCATATAATCCTGTGCAATAACTTCAATATCATGGATGAAATCCAGTCCAGCACTTTTGGATTCTCTCAAGGGAGCTACGTGGTCTCGAGGCATGATGTCCGCCTTGAGTGCTAGAGGTTTAGTGTTCAATGCCCGGTAAGGGCTGGTATTTTTTCACGTGGATTTGGACTTCTAGTAATTCCCCCTGGTCTCTGGGTAGTGAGATCGGACGCCCATGTGCATTGTTGAGCGCGCGCCCAAAAAAAAATCTCTTGGCAGTTGGAAATCGAAAAGTGTAGCCTAACTAGGATGCCCGTGAAAAATTTGGAGTTGAAAAATCTACCCAAAGTATTTCAGGATCCTTGCTGGTGCTACAGAGCCTGTGCACTGCGCTGAGCTTCTTCGGACTCAGACTTGAGTTAGAAGAACAGAGCACTTATAGGTTAACCGTTGTTCAAAACCTCAAAACTCTGAATGGATTCTCTCATCAGCGTTTCAGGGTTTCTCGTAGATGTCCTCTTTTCCTCAATTTTTCCATTTCAGTGCCTATTTGTTGATTTTCTGTTCGCCACTGCTCAGAATGTATCCAATATAGTATCAACTGTTCTGTCCTATAACTGTTGATACTAGTGGTTATTTCTTTACCCCTTTTGAATTTTTCCCAATTTATGTTCATAATTTTCCTCATGCATTTGCTTGTGTATGAATGCTTTAAAAAAAATAATAATAATGGGCAACCAAAGGAAGGGGTATTCAGTTTTATTCAAACTTCTAATGTGCTTGTTTTGTTTTGTTTTATCCTAACTACACACTTTAAATCTCTTTAATTCCTAGTTATGGCGCCATTAAAGCTTTAAATTTTGCTTGAATAAGTTAGCCATTAATATTGAGCACTAAATTAAACTATGAAAAAAACTCATCACACACTTTGGATGTTATTATAGGCAGATTATACAGAACTGCTGATCCAAAAGTAAAAGACTCTTTTCCACACTTTTACGCGTATTTGGCATTTGGAGCTAAGATCCAAAATACTAGTCTTTTTAAATTTATGTCAGTATTTATATCATAAATAAAGTCTTAACTGGCTGCTGTTATTATTTCTAACACAACTGAAATCTCCATTAACTGTTTTCAGCATTTATATCGTAACTGAAATCATTATTTAATTACGTTTTTTTAATAAAAATTTCATCCCACAAGTGAAATCACCATTTACTGGAAAATCATCATTAACCGTAATCAGTATTTATTTAATCCTATAACTGAAATCATCAACAACTGCTGTCAGTATTTCTATCAGATCTGAAGTCAACAACTGCTATTACACTACAGGTCGCTTAAGGCAACCTCAGATGTGGCAGAATTTCTATTGTGAAGAACAATGTTTGTCCCTGGGAGATTTTTCTCAATTGAACTCTTACCTGGATAAGAGGAATTTCTGTTAAGAAGAACCATATCTTGGGTCACCGGTGAGTTCTCCTTATCGGGTCTGCGCTGTATAATTTCTTTACAGCCGACAGCAATTGTGTGCATATATCAACAGTGAAACGCAAGGGTAGGGGGACATTCTATTCACAAAGGCTATTTTACATAATAATTCTGACATAACCATTTTGTCAAGCCGTGCTCTGCAGCAAAAGATGCATTTCCCGTCTCGGCAGTCAAAAGATGCACTTCCCTGTTCTCTGCAGTGAAAAGATAAATTTCCCTGTGCTCTGCAGTCAAAAGACACACTTCACCATGCTATTTACAAAGATGACCCATCGGTTCTGTCATATTTAAAATACACACTCAAATGGCCATAATATATAACAATGTTTTTCTTTTAATAAAAAACCCATTCTGAGAAATTACTTACAAACTCCTACATTTTTTTTCAGTGATTAAAATAAAATATTTGCCGCTTCACAATGGAGGTTGGCTGCAGCAGATAAATGCACCCAAGGCTGTATGAGATGTGGTGAGGCCCCAATCTTTTCCGCAGTGCACCTCTGGTACAACTGTCCAAAAGTTGGGACGTCTTTGAGAATATGATGCGGTGAGACGCCTCTGCTACAACTGCCCAAAAGTTGCAATGTCTCTGACAATATGATGCGGTGAGGAGCCTCTGGTACAAATGCCCAAAAGTTGCAATGTCTCTGACAATATGATGCGGTGAGATACCTCTGGCACGAATGTCCAAAAGTTGCAATGTAGGGAGACGCCTCTGGTACAAATGTCGAAAAGTTGTATCATCTGTGAGAATATGATGTGGTACAACTTTAGTACAACTGTTCAAAAGTTGCAACACCTTTGAGGCTATGATGTGGGGAGGCACCTCTGGTAAAACTTCAAAAGTTGCAACAGCAGCCTTTTTTTCCCAGTTAACTACCTGAACCTGAACCCAGATATAAAGGGTGTGAAACATGTTCACTAGCCTCAAACCACAGAATCAGTTCAGAAGACAATAAAACAACACGAATCAGTAAATGTTTAAGAATGGTGAACACTCTGATGAAGCTTCCACAGTCCGTGATTAAATTAAAATGTTGAAATGAAAGGCAAGATTTACATCAACAAGAAGTGAAGACCGCATGTCACATGGCTGCTACTTTATCACTGCTGGACATCTGTGAAGCTGAAAAACACAGCAAATATAAAATTTAACTGTGTAAATATATATACAAAGTGTGAAACAAAAGGTTGTGAAATTTACTGACATTAAAGAAGATAAAAGAAGAAAACAAAAAGAAGACAATACAAGAAGATTCTTATTTTGATAGTAATGACCAAAGCATTACATTAGGGTTAATCAGAAGAATGTGCTATTCTGACCGAGCAACAAAGCACCGGGCATGATGGATTTTATTTCTTCATTGCAGGGTTGATTTCTCTGGTACAAATTAACATACATACTCATTCTTGAAATAAAATATGTGTGTGCGTGTAATATTCTGCCCTTAGAGCAGGCAGGCAGACAGATAGGTAGCTTGGTAGATAGAGAAACAGATAGACAGACAGACAAGGAGGTGGACATTATGGGAGGGAGAGAGATGGAGAGGGAGGGAGGGGGGAGAGAGAGATGGGAAGAGAGAGAGAGAGAGAGAGAGAGAGAGAGAGAGAGAGAGAGAGAGAGAGAGAGAGAGAGAGAGAGAGAGAGAGAGAGAGAGAGAGAGAGAGAGAGAGAGAGAGAGAGAGAGAGAGAGAGAGAGAGAGAAACACACACACATCCACAATAACAAGCGGACATACTAACACCACTGCTACAGATACCCACTGTTTAACAAATACACACAAGTGTATCTATCCTACAATAAGCGGTACTGTCAACTGCCAATCATAAACATTCACATTCTATGAGTTTTATTGTAGTACTTTCGACAGAACTGTGGTGCCCAGTCAGCTAAGACCTGCTGACTACTTTTGTTTTCATACATCGGTGACCAGGGTAGCCCACTGGCTCGCCGGTAGAGGACTTCATCGCTGGTTGGGACCGTATCTGGGTCTGTCTCCTCTGATCGCATTAACACTGCAAGAGTTCTTTTCAGAGCTACTTAATGGCGAGCAATGCTAAGCCATTTTATATGGTGCACATAACCTAGTCACAATTATAATCTAAAGTTACCCTTCCGGGATGCTGGTCGAATGTGATGATTTTTTAATTTTTTTCGCAAAGCAAGCCAAGCCCTTTTGTTTCTGGTCAAGCGGTTTGCCTAGCGCTCTGAAGGTCATAGGTTCAGTTCACTAGTGCAATTTAATGGAGATCCCTGGGGATCATCGCCGGAGCTATGGAGATCATACTCTTAAGCGGTGCTCTCTGCAGGCAGCTAGCTATTCTGTGGAGAGAGACTGAGCCATATGGGATAAAACCTGGTGCTATAAAACTGATCCTCTCGACTTTAACCTGTTGTTTATCAAGGTCTGCCACAGACCCCACAATCTACGCTTGCATTCTGAAGAAATTATTATATCTAATAAATATTTTATTGCAAAACAAACTGGGGGGGGGGGGGGGGGGGGGGGGGGGGGAGAGGGAGAGGACTGCATTCTAAAGCTGAGGTTTGTGTGTGTGCAGATGATACCACTGACCTTTCACATTTGTTCCGTAGACCAACACCAAATGGGAAAAGACTGCTACAGAACAGCTCAAATACCTGAAGTACTGAAAGACAGAAAAGTGTCTTTTTCAAACAGAACATTTTCTCCTTGTGGGTTCTAGGGATTCAATATTTTGGCAGGAAATCAAGAACAGACCCACTGCCTATTTTATATATATAAGTTAGAAGGAAAGAAGGATCAGCCCCAGGTATAATGATCAATGCTAAGTAAGATCCTCATACTCACATTCTTTCTCTCGTCTGCGGGCCCTCTTTCGTCTCCTGTCTATGCTTGCAACTTCAGATTTAAGATTCATGTAAATGGCCTTGATTTCTCTCATTTTGGTGATCAGGAAGTTACAGCGTGCCTCTCCCTCCAGATATTCTCCAAGATCTACATAATATATTCAAAGAAAAAAACACATTATGCCTCAATTAAAATTATGAAAGTTCTGGTTGGTCTCCTTCTCTGTCTTTAGTAAATAAACTGCAATTACATATTAATCTTAACAGTACAATTTCCTTTTCTTCTTTTCTCTACTCCTAGAATGCCTCGTGGTGTCAGGGCAGGAGGAGATATCTGGAACGGGTCCTTTTGTTCGCTCTGTATAAAGTACTTTTCAGTGACTGATATTTCTGCGGTCTGTGTTCTGCGAGGTCGACCTCTGGACCTGTTACTGTTTATCTGTATAACATTGCTCTATGTGGTGCTCTGTCCAATGCCAATCTTGTTACATGGCCAAACCATTTGAATACAATTTCACCACGAATACATTTCTGGAATAATTTATTCACATATTTCTCTATTTCTATTCTGGGATGTTGGAGTAAATTATAGTCTTGCATGGTTATTCCTTGTTTTTGCTGCAGAGTTGGAAGAAATCTTATAGTCTCATAAGGTCCTTCCACTTCCAATTCATGGTTACAGGGAGGCACTTTACAGTCTTGTTAGGTTCTTCCTCTTCCACTTTATGGTTAGAGAGAAGCACTTTAGTCTTGTAAGGTTCTTCCTCTTCCACTTCATGGTTAGAGGGAGACACTTTAGTCTTGTAAGGTTCTTCCTCTTCCACTTTATGGTTAGAGGGAGACACTTTAGTCTTGTAAGGTTCTTCCTCTTCCACTTCATGGTTAGAGGGAGGCACTTTAGTCTTGTAAGGTTCTTCCTCTTCCACTTTATGGTTAGAGAGAAGCACTTTAGTCTTGTTAGGTTCTTCCTCTTCCCCTTCATGGTTAGAGGGAGGCACTTTAGTCTTGTAAGGTTCTTCCTCTTCCACTTCATGGTTACAGGGAGGACCTTTTCAGTTCTGTTAGGTCCTTCCTCTTCCACTTCATCGTTACAGCTTCGTCTTCCACTTCATGGTTAGAGAGTTAGAGAGAGGCACTTGACAATCTTGTTAGGTCCTTCCTCTTCTACTTCATGGTTAGAGACGCCTTACAGTCTTGCAGGGTCCTTTGTCTTCCTCATCGTGGTTACAAGAATCCAACAGTTTTGTGAGGTCTGTTCTCTTCTTCTCCATGCTTAGAAACATCAAAGCTGTTTGTCTCCTACTGGCATATTAACATACCTATATACGCACATTGTATTCCTAACAAAGGCTAGAGAAATGCCTTCCTAAACATTCATCCTCAGATTCCACAACACTCAGGGGAAGGATGAGACGGATATACCATCAGACGATTACTGGTACCGTCTGCAGTGAAACTCTTCGCTTGCTGAAGATGGGAGACTGCACATTTATGAGAGTGTCTCAAGTGCTGTGATGTTGATTCTTAATTTAACATTCAGAATCCCACAGCAGTCGGAGAATATTCTGAACTAGACAAGACAATCTAATTAAAGACAATGAGACACTTAAGAAAAACCATGTGATATTTCAAATCAAATGTTACAGGGGGAAAATATTATTAAACAATGTGAAGATCCATGAGGAGTCATACAATGAAACTCTCCACAAGTGTATAAACATGCTGCCCGTGCGTATTTCAGGGTCTCATCGAAAAGGGGTGGGGGATGGATAGACCCACTACTCCTTTACCTGCATAATGTAAAAGGCAACACATTAGGGTTTGGCTGAAAATGAATGAGTTTTTATTGTTGGATTTCCTCAGTTATATAGATTGTGTGCGTGTATACACACACAATAAGAGAGGTCCACAAGTCTTAGCTAACTGGGAACCTTCTTCTTCTGCCTTTCTAGCTCCCAATGGAACACAGGCCCTCAACTAACTCACGCCAAGTCGTTCTATCCTTTGCTATCGCATGCACTCTCCCCATCTTTCTAACTTCATACTTCAGCTCCCTTCTCCATGTACTTTTTGGCCTTTCTATATTCCTACGCCCCTGTGAATTCCAATGCAAAGACATTCTAGCCATATTGAACAATATAACTAGAACTGGGAACCACTGTCCTTAAACATTTGTGTGTGCACATGCATGCATACTAACTACAACAGTAGCATGGTCAGATATAAGTGACTTGAAGACGTGACATTTACCAACCTGCACTGAAGTTGAACTTGCTAGGGCGTGGAGACTTGGACAAGTCTGCTAACTTGGTGGGTGGAGATTCGGGGCAATGACTGGGTGTGTTGGAAGTTGATCCCTGGGAATCGGAGTTGCCTACGTCTGTAGATAAAAAAACAACATTATACTTTTCTTGAAATCTTGATTCAAGACCAACCAAAAACGTTTTTAAGGTCTGTGGGAGTCAGCAAATAGTGCAGAAAAACAAACAGATCCTTAATCCTCACTGTCTGAATAGAATGGTGCAACAGGAAGTAACCAGGAAATTTGGCCAATGAGATTACTTTTGGTACTCTCCATTCGTAGTGCCCTCTCACCCGACACAGGAAAATTTGCCGTAAAATGTTCTAGGACTAAAACAGTTAAGAACACCATGATGAGCCAGAAAAGGGTAATTAAATGTGTTTAGGGGGGCTTTCTGCAGCGAAGTGGTCAAGCTGCTTGCCTCGATCCCGAAGGTTGTGGGTTCATTTCAGACACCCATTCAGTTGACTACAGCAATTTTAGCAGAGAGTCTTGAGGATCAGCTCTGGAGCTAGAGTGTGTGTTTTATGCCCTGCTCTTGGCAGGCAACTAGCTATTTTGCAGAAATACAGTCATATAGGGTACCACTCAGTGCAATGGGGCGTTAACTTTGTCGACTAATTACAGACAACTTAAAGGCTTTAACTTAACTGCAGATTCAAATTCAGCATGCATACTGAGCAATGTCATCTTGCAGAAGTTTCTCTTTGGTTTTATCCATTTTAGACAAAAAAACTAATTCCACAAAACTGTCATGAAGAGAAATATATCAGTATAGAGCATATGCATGCACACACACAAATACAAAGACATGACAGGGCAGTAATATAAAAGACATCACACACACGCACATACACATATTTTATGTCTTTTACATTATCACCATTTTAAAATTACTGCTCAGTCAGTTATGTCTTTTTTATGTGTAGTGTGTGTGAATATTTGTCAGTGTGTGTCTATCAGGATGAAGATAATCTGTTCAGAGTTAAATAAAAACAACAATACGAACATTAATAACTAAGACAGTGAAAGAACAGTTCTCGGTGACATCAAGAATTCCTACTCACATTTGGGCGACTTCTTGGCAGTTCTACTTCTGGTCCCATGCACTCTCTTCTTTTTGCTTTCAGGCAAACTATTTGATGTATCATCTAGGACCTTCCGTTTTTTGTTAGAGGGAATATCTTGGTCAGTTCCGCTGCTCTCTGACTGTTGAGCGATCACTGCAGCATCTAGGTTATCAGTAGAAGTGGTGCTAATCACATCATTGTCTGAAGGAGACTCGCCCGCAGATTTTGATGTGGTCAGATTGGAAGACGAGGTGGGCAATGACGTTGACGGTATATACGATGAGCAGATGGCTTTTACATTGTCTTTGTGAGAGTCAGACTTCAAGGATACATCCTCTGAATGGGAGTGGTAGACAGGATGTTGCATGGGGGGACTTCTATTCCCTTCCTCTTCGTGTTCCGGAGTCGTCGGGGGTGTGTTGTCAAAAGCTGCACTGGGATCACTGCTTTCAAGCTGGGGCTCAAACCCTTCACTTTCCATAAAGCTGGACTCCTTTTTATTGTCTTTGAAATCAATGTCTTCTAATGGCTCTATGTTGGAGGAAGAAGTACAGGGCACTTCGTCTGAATGAGCAGTCTGGGGCGTTGCATGGTCAGTTAAGGGAGATGAATTTGCTCTGACAGCTGTGTCACCTTCTAAATTTATTAAACTATTTTCTAACACATCCCCTGAATCTCTGCCTGCGACCTTGCGTCCTACCTTTGTGATTCGCACACCAGTGTCTTTCTTATCACTTTCTGAAACTTGCTTTACCTTTCGTCTTTTTATTACTGGCTTTTGTTCTTGATCAGATTCTATTTCCTGTAATGAATGCTTGACCGCTTCAACAACACTGTTAACTGTACTCTCATACAATTCACTCACTTCCTTCTTTGTTTCACAGTCAACTTCCTTCTTCTTTCGCCCTTTCTTCTTTCGTCCTTTGCTGTCTACAGGAGTGTCTGCAGTTGCCTGGGCAGCTGAAATATCACTGGGATTAACAACAGCAGTATCATCCACCAAGAGACTCCTCTCCTCCCCAACAAACTCGGGACTAATTGACTTTTTCTTGGCTTTTTTCTTGACTTTCTTTTTCTCTTTTTCCTCTCCCTCTTCAGGTGTTGACAAAGATTCCTTGTTTTCCTTAACAGGAGTACTTTTCTGGCTAGGTTCCCATTTCTTTGTGATCTCTGGCTGCCATGGTGTGTCTACTTCAGCATCAAAATCATAAGGTGATGGCTCTAATTTACTGACTGTCAGAACCGGTGACATCACAACAGGCTCTAAAGCTGGTATTTCAGAGGCTATGTTAGCATTTATTGCATCTGAACTTTTATTTGCCTTTTTCCCTTCCTTTGCCGAGATATTCTTTCTTCCTCTCCCAGCCTTGGGTTTTTCAGTGTCTTTGTCTTTCTTAGGTGGCTCAGCATCTACCTTTTTCAACACAGGAGCGGCCTGGTCTAGCAACAATTCTGCAGCACACACATCATCCGGCTCTTTATCACATGGAGCAGGTTTACAATCAGTTTTCACATCCTGCTCTTCTTTTTCCACTACAGTTTCTTCTTCTACGATCTCTAACTTTGGAGACGCACTGTTTTCAACATCTATATTCATCTCTTGGGCTGTCAAGGTTTCAGGTTCTTCAGCATTGTAATAATCCTCTAATTTAATATCTCCTTGGTCACAACACACAGCTGACTTTATTTCCTCAAGGGCATCTCGTATTTCAACAACACGCACAGCTGCTTTCTGAGGTCTAGCATCAGGCTTAACAACACTAACCACAGATTTAATAACAGAATCTGCAGAGCTATCTTCCTTCACTAAATTCTTAGAATCCTTCTCCTGCTCCTCTTCAGTGCTCAGATCACTTTCAACTGGCACCATGCTTTTATCTTCTTGATTAGCAACACTGGTTTCTTTCTCACTCTCACCCCCATCTTCCTCCTCCTCCACTCTTTCCGAACCCATATCAGACACTGAGTCTTCAGGAGAAGTTACTTCATTTTCCATGCTGGTATCAGCCAACTTTCCTTTTACAGAATCTTCTTCAGACTCTTCGTAGTCATCCACATCCAGAATATCCTCGTCTCCAGCATTTTGAACTTTGGAATTGGCATCAACATCCTCGTCGTCATCATCATCGATATCCTCATCATCAGCTCTTTCGGAGCCTGACCCATCATCAGCATCGCTGGCTGTGGCGCTGCCTGCAATTTAAAGGATGAATAAAGCACATTAATTAAAATGATACTACAACACAATTTCTGTGTTTTATTCTCACATAATAAAATAGTACACAGGACAGAATTTTGTGGATAGATATGACTACCAATGCCATATTGTAAGGACTTTAAGAAGAATAATAAAATCAATTGATAATTAAAAATAAATGAAAATAATCATTATCTGGCACCTGCGCAGAAAAGAATGAATAAAACTATGATTAATTCACAAATGCAGAGCTTATGAGTAAAACTTGACCAAAAAAAATATTAAGGTGAGGAAAAGACATTTGACACTCACTGAGACAAATTGACAATAATATTACTACTATATCCTTTCACTGGAATTAAAAAACAAAAGCATATAGAAGGGGATCATCAAAAATTAGATGAGATCAAAAATATGATGAGCAAAGAGCTGAAACAGATAGCAGAGCCTGGTATTAGTTGGTCAAAAGTCTATGCTCCAATGAGCAATAGGACGAATACTTACACAACAGTTACATGGATTTTTTAAGGATAAGTGACAAGTTTTAGTAAAATGTGCAAACAGTAAATTTATTTCCTTCTTTCCTCATAACCTAGATCATTGCGATGGCAGCCTTGATGAGAAGATAGGTTCTAGGTTCTTTCACACAGAGATGCTATCTTCCCAATAAACTGTTTGGGCAGCAAGCAGCAATTTCAAACTGACTGACTGGTATTTGGCAAAAAAGCGAGTTTCCTTTTACCCAATGGCACTATAATTATATTGGGTACTGAAATAAAGCTTACAGTGATAACCCTTGACATGAAAACCAGGGCTATTCAACTAAGTTTACTCAGGGGCCAAGATATTGAAAATGGATATTGTCACGGGCAAGAGGCCCAAGCCCTAGCATAGAAAGATCACTAATACAATACAACACAATACACTGGCAATTATACGAGGGTCACTTGCAAGGTCTCAGTGAGCCAAATTCAGCCAGTTGAATAGCCCTGATGTCAACTGACAAGACAAGACAAACCTGGAGATTTAGACCCAGTAGAATCTGTTAGAACTGAGTGACGCCGTGTCATTCTTTTACCTAAGTTTTTAAAAAAAAACCAGGGAGATGTTACTCAAGTTAAATAATAGGGAAAAAAAATGTGCTACAAAAATTTCATTCTTAAAGCAGAAGAGTGCTGGCTAAACTTTTAGAATGCTAGTTTTTCATTTGGGAAACCCAGGTTTTATTCCGCTGTAAGGTGATGGGCAATACTTCTGTCCGGAGAGGTTTTAAACCTATATAATTTGTGGCAACTGCACTAGTCATGTGGACATAACACTTTAGGCTTAAGACCAACAACTGCACTAGCCATGTGGACACAACACTTCAGGCTTAAGACCAACAACTGCACTAGTCATGTGGACATAACTCTTCAGGTTTAAGATCAACAACTGCACTAGCCATGTGGACATAACTCTTCAGGTTTAAGATCAACAACTGCACTAGCCATGTGGACATAACTCTTCAGGCTTAAGAATAACAACTGCACTAGCCATGTGGACATAACTCTTCAGGCTTAAGAATAACAACGGCACTAGCCATGTGGACGTAACTCTTCAGGCTTAAGACCAAAAAATGCACAAGCCATGGGGATATAACTCTTCAGGCTTAAGAACAAAAAATGACTTGTCATAGGGACATAACGCTTCAGGCTTTAAACAGTTATTAAAACAGGCAGTTAAAACTGTAAAAAGTCCACAACAAATTATTCTTCAAATCTGTTCCCTAGCTTGCAAATTTATAGTTTCCAATAAATATATATATCTATATATTTTAGACAATATTTTAAAGAGTAACTGGCACTTGGTGGGTGATGTAATCAGTATCACGCTCGCTGCTTTTACTTCCCAGGACTGTACCTGGTACTCACTCAAGGCTGGGTCAACCTCAGAGCCAAGGTCATTTCTGAAGGAAAAAAAAAAAGTCTGGCTCTGTCAGGACCTTCTGATCCACAGATGAATGTCTAGCTGCAACATCATGCCAGCTCCCAGACAGGCACAAGAACACTCAACATGTGCTGCAGACATGTATGCAGTAGAGAGATCCGAGGTCTAGCTAGTGGGCATTCCAATGGTAACCAAGCTGAAAGGAACAGTGGGAGACATGTACCGCACCACAGCCTTCATAGGGGCTGTGTCCTCATCTGAAAACCACCATTACGGAAAGAAAACGAAAGGAAGAAACAGAACCAGAAGTACTTTTCTCTAGAACCCACAAGGAGGGGAAATGTTGACCTACAAAAACGGAGAACATATAAGAAAATTAGAGACCTATATGAATAATATGGGAATAGCAAAAATTCAGCCACAGAAAACGACCCCAAAAAAAAAAAATTTTAAAAGAAAATGAGAAAAGTTTTTGTGACATGATGGTTGAGCGATCACGCTCTACAATTAGACAACAGAGAGACAGAAGAAGAAACCATCATAGTGAGTTGGTAAAGAATGAAGTTAAAAGAAAACTAAGTTACTATTCTTAGATATAATCACCTGTCTTTTTATCCACAATGGATGTTTCAGAACTAGAAGAGCGGGTGGCCCTCGTCTTGGCGCCCATTATCTTTGGTGTACGGAAAACCTGTTCAGATTTGTTCAAATCTGATAAAGTCTGTGGAGTGTTTGTGGAGGAGTTGGGAAGTGGTGTTCTTTTCAGGCAGCCAGGAAACTGAAAATTCAAGAAAACATCTCATTACAAAAAACAAAAACAAAAATTTATAACAAAAACAAAACTGTTAATGTGGTTAAATATTATTGTTTTTTTTTTTTAAATTCCTGATATGGAAAATTATTCCAAATGGGACTGAATGACTGGATCCTATAAATAAATGTAAACCTTGAAAATATACACAAATTCAACATTTTCTGGAGATATACTGTTGGATTTATAATAAACTGATTCATATATTGTTCCAACACTGGAAACTACAGAGCTTCCAAGTCAAACAGCATATGTACTGCAGACTGGCTCAGCAGACCCGTGGCATTATAAAAGATTTTAAACTATGAAACTCAGTATAAGTGCCATGTGCTATTTGTCTAAGACATCAAAATGTTGTTACCTATGCAGATATGCATTTCTGATGTTAATTTTACTCTGTGTATGCCCTGATTAAGACTGCACTTTTCTATACTGTATACTGCAACTAAATGCCCTTCTACGAAAGCAAACTTACTTTTGTAAAATTAATCCCTGCCCCAATGTGGGATGCGATTTTACATTTCTTAAAGTCCCATCCTGGCTGTAGTCGGGTGGGGGCCTTAATATAAGCTAACTGTTGAACAGGGTTTCAGGGACTTGTACTGGGGTGATCCTTATCTGAATAATGGCACTTTGTGTCACCAGGTGTTGGTTGCTCATTGTATGGTCCTGGTGGGGTTGATTGACACACACACATGCTTACTCCTGTTTTTGTAACACTGAGGTACAATTACGGCAGATTCAGAGGTGCTTTTAAAATATTTTTTCAAGGTCTGTCTGACCTGCTTACAATATGCATTACAAATGAAAATTAAGTATAAATGGTAATGAGTCCATACGACAAAGCACAGAACAGTAACACTGTAAACTACCAGACATAATGTAAGCAGCATATAAGAAGGGTTGCCAAGAGACAGGCTAACTCTGTAGAAAACTGCAAAAAAAAAAAAATACTAAGCCTATAAACAGTTTAACATGAGCTGGTTGAGGCAACTTATGCTCAATAAGGAAATGAACAACAGATGAGCCCAGACTATTGTTGCTTGTTATCCATATCAATATTCCAGCACATCGGTCCAACCCATCTGTGCTCCATCCTCTGATGCAGCAGCCACTTCAGTGTCTCCATGATCACTGCCAGGAGTTGATTGGCATATCTTAACGTCAATCACACCGGATCTTCACCTGAGCAATGGGGGAAAGGGGGGGGGGGGGGAACTGTGCTACCGAGCTGGGATCTGATGCAGTAGAAAGGATGAAAAGAGGAAGACAGGAGCATCTACAATGACAAAAGATATACTTACTGATGGAGATCTCAATGGAGGTGTCCTTGACTTGGACCCATCAGGCCTGTCCAAGACCGAAACAACTCTGTCAGGGCGAATCCACTCATCATACCTTTTTTTGGGGAGAACAAAATAAACATTTCATTGCTGTCGTGGAGGTTTGTATTCTTTAGTTTATTAAAATCCATGAAACTTTACGATCTTCTTCTTCTTATTCTGTGGTCAGCATTAAAATTCATATTTTTTGAAATTTTTTTAAAGAATCTTACAAATAGTGTTATTTAAGACAAGTAAAACTAAAAGTTTCTTGTATATTTGATGTCAAAAGTAAAGTTACCCCCCCCCCCCCCCAAAAAAAAAAACTGTTTACACTAGCAGCGGATCACACATACGATGCTCGACTTATACATATCGAAACAAAATGCCGCCATTAAGAAAACATGGCAACAGTTTAACTAAATTGTCCTGTCACTGTAATCCACAGGGTAAAGGAGACACAGGGAGGCCTAAAAACATAGAGATGAGAATTACAGACAGCAATGAATAGTACAGGAAGGACACAAAAAGAGCTGCATGAGATGATAAAATGACTAGATGGCTTGGTCTTAGCTGGTCCAGGACTTTATCTCTTTCCAGACAATAGTCTTCCACTGTGGGAAGCATGGAAACCTCTGCCCACGGCAGTGATGAGTTTGAGAAGGATCCACTGAATCTTCCAGATGGAATGAATGACATTTCAGGAGCACTGTTGCCTTTACAGGTATCTAATATGTTTCTTCTCAGATGAGTTGAGTTGACTCAAGAACCCACATCACAGTACTCAGGGCATTCCCAAAAGCGCACTGTCCACATCTTCAGCAGCCAGCGCAGAGTTCCAATACCAATGGTGCCAACAGCATTCTGATTATATGTTCACCTTGCCTTTTCTCTGAGCGTCAAGGATCGACCAGATTCCTTTGTCACCCCCAACTGCATCTCTCTCACCAGACTGAAGTAATCCATTTGCTCCTCCAAATTGTACAAGTTCTCCCATAAGACCTAACCACGTCTGCCTTACCATACATCAGCATTCCACCATGCTGTTCAGTGCCAGACGTTTTTTGCCTTTTCATTTCCCAGCACATACCCAAGAAGAAAAAAAATCCAGACAATCCTCTTCACCCATGACCTCCGAAGCATGTCTGTTCTCATTTTCTCAACATGCTTTCTGAGTCAGTTACAATCATGATGTGTGTGTGTCATGTTCTCTAGCCAGTGGATAGCTGCAGTGACCGCCTCCACCTCCATTAAGCTGCATTTTGTGGAATCATACGTTAGGCTTACTGCACCAAACGTCAACCAGTGACCTTTGCTAAGAACCTCCAAGCACTTCTCTTGCCTCTTGACACTATAAAAATAATCACATCCTCTGAACGAGCATTATCTTGAATGATTTGCTGAATGTCCACCTCCGCGGCACCTGCTGGCCACTCCCTGCTCAACATGATTATGACTCTCAACAAATCTGAACCACTCCTCTCCTCACCTAATGTTCTCCAGGTTGCAGACCTGCCTCACTGTCTTCTGCATCAATGATGTTCCTCTTTCCAGCTGCTGACTTAAAGAGCTTTGTGCAAAGGGTGATCTGTGTGTGCAGCTACCCCGAGATATGACCTCGCCTGCAGCACCTTGCACCTACTGCAACAGTCAGCAGACCAAGGATGTATCGCATACACACCATTGGAGTGTCTCTGGTGCAACCCAGAATGACCCATTTAGCTGCGTTCTGTATGCGCTCTAGTTTGTCCATCTGACTCTTTGAGACGGTAAGCAGTCCCAAGCCTAAGATGCTTGACCTTTAACTGCTTGCAGTTTTTTTTTCTCCTTTACCTCCATTCCCACCTTCTATTTCTTCCCTCCATGATATCCTCTCAATGGCATCCTGTTCCAGTGAGTCCACCTCAATACAAGTACCATTCATGCCCTGCTTGCATTATCTTTAAATCAGAGGCAGACGCCGACATCATCTACCAATGTCTATATTCTACCAGAGAAAAAACAGCATAACAAGAATATTTAGTCTCGCTGGTTCCAAACACTTTGAGGCAGTAAAAAAAACTATCAGAAATTTAAACAAACCTGGTGTTCCATCCAGCATAATGTACTAAATATGTTCTATGCGCTCCATCTTTGCCATAATCAATAACCTGTTGGCAAAGAGAAAACATAATCCACCATCTGACAATCCATACACACATACACAACTGAAGCATTAAAAATAAATAGAAAAACTGTTAAAATGCTTAAAAATCTGTTTCAATTACATATAAAGTGATTTCTAAAGATATGGCTTGGTAGCTTTGTGAAATACAGTAAATGAGTTTATTTCTCCACAAGATCTAAAATACCTCTTTAATCTCCATTTTACATTTCATCTTCTTCATACAGCCTCAAAAGGGTGGTAGCTACACTGTGTTGTGGTTTACATCTAGGCTGTGATATCTGCACCATTTTGTCCAACACATCCGATTTCAGCAAATTCCTTGTAGGGCCATGACCAAAAGTCTGTCAAATGTTCTACTGTGTGACAGATACGGTTCAAATGTCTGACCGTAAACTGTCTATCCTGTGTGACAAAAGATTCAATGTGTGTAACTATTGGCCCCCATCGTTGGAATGTCATGACTATAAGGGGCAGCCATGTCTAATGCATGTTTTCCTATACTGCCATGCTAAGTGTCCTGATGCAACTATATTCATTCATTACAGCCTGCATTTACTACTTCTGCAGAGTAGGCAAGGGGATCTCTCAGCCTGAGGTTTTAGGCCATGTAGCTAGTGCTGTCGCCATGGACTGTGCATGCCACAATTTTATTTGTACCTCCAACACAAACAATTCCAGAACCTTATCGAGGATTGACCCACATTAAAGCCCAGCGTTCTTATCTGTTTGTCCAGCCACACCTCACCACTATGTTAAAAGCCTATGTGCTAATAATTGCTGCCCATTTGTGTGGTCATCAAAGTACCTGCTCTGTGGGTTGCTTCCTGTTGATCTCTACAGGGTGCAGCCCATGATGAGTGGAAAGCTAAACATCCAGATGAGAGGTTAAGCTGACATGTGCAGGACGTGATTCCTTGGGTGAGCTCAGGACCAGAGCGCCAGGTGTTGGTTCTGCATTTATGGAAACCTCCTTTGATGGCGAGTTATGCCCATGTTCTGCCAACCAGTCTGCGGGTTGCTGCCCTGGATGGATTCTTTAGGGGCAACACTTGTAAAAAAAAAAAAAAAAACTCCACGAAACCAACCGGGAAGGCTTAACCAGTGAGCAAATGCCCGATGAAGTTGGTGTTTTGGTCAAAAAGCACAAATGTCGCAGCAATGCTGTTAACATGCACAACACAAATGATGATGAAGAAGAAGAAATAGCTGAAAGATTAACAGAAAGCAAAGGTTATTTTCTCATAGGATTTCTCTGAAATTCATAGAAATACTCTTTGTTCTGAATCCACAATGACCTTACCTTGGCAATATAAATCTTTTGATTCTTTCCTCTGCCATATTTGACTTTCAGTCTGGATCCAATTGGGTATTCATGCTTCACACTGCCGTCAGACTTGTCCTGGTCAGACTCTGCCTCTCCTTCACTACAGGCTGTATTAGACATGTCTCTGCTGGAATAAAATGAGTAAACTCAATAAGATATGATGTTCTTTAAAAAAAAAAAAACCTTTATCTCATTTTATTTTTCTTTCTTCTTTTTCTATGGTTAAGTCAACTTGTACGCTCTCATTCCATCTTTTGTGTGGTCTACAGTTATGAATTAATATGACTGTAGTCTATGGGTTGTGAATGTAGTTTTATAATCCTGATATACCAGGATTCAAAATCAGCTAAAGGCAATTTGGTGGCAGTTTGTGCCCTCATGTTCCATAGCTGTAAACTCCAACAAAAGTTTATGATGGTTCGTCCACTTAGGAACTTGTGGCCTTGATTCAGGACCTGAGTTCCGCATGCACATCAGTTTTACAGATCTGACTTGTGTGCAGACTGCTAGTTTCTCGCCTCTCAGGCAGATGCGCTCCTATTTTGAAGGAAACAGCTGATCCCATCTATGCTGGCCAGCCCCCCCCCCCACTTGGGAACCCGTTTCTAGGATGCTCATGGAGAGGTGTAGATAGGTCTTAATCAATACAAGCTCCGGTCCTGGTGCAACACAATGTGCCTGTCTTTATCCCAAACAGGACTACTTTTAAACTTAACACTTCAGGCACAGGACTCCACTCATTCACACACACTGTGCATAACACCCTCAGACTTGTAGTACAGGTTTGGCAGGCTTTTGAACTAACCACTTGACCTACATAACACCACCTGGGCACTGTTTCAGCAGGCTTTTAAGCTTACCACTTAACCTACACAACACTCATTCACACTCACTGTGCATAACACCACCTGGACTACTGCTTCAGCAGGCTTTTAAACTTACAACTTTACTCATTCACATTCACAGCAGCTATCAGAAGTACTAACACAAACAGTCCAATATTAGAAGTGCAGTTCATCATTGATGGAAGCAGCAGTTACAAACAGATAAGCAGTTAAACTTGCGATCAATTTTAATCATATAAGGCACAACCAATTCTGAGGCAACAGGCCACTCACTATTTTCTGAATCTACACTTTATATCACGATGTTGATGACAGTCGAAAATCATTCCACTGAAATCTGTAGCTCAGTGTCCCACCATGCAGTCAGCTGGGAGACAAAACCACATCCTTCCAGTCTACAAATGGAGGAAAATGCAATGACCACCGCCAGCCAGAGGCAAGATTTACCACGGCTTAAAACAGTGACCATGCTTTTATCGTTCATTTTGACTGGAACACTTTTGTGCATTACACAAAACGGAACCAAAAAAAAAACAAAACAAAAACTGGAAAAAGGGCGATAAAATTAACCTGTAGACTTACTTATCATCTGAGCCCTCATCTTCATCCCCCTTCTTCTCTTTCTTTGGCCTTTTTTCCTCAGAACTTTTTACTTTCTTTTCACTTGGTAGCTTAACATCTTTTTTGTCAATAATTTTTGCAGGTGGTTCCTTCTTATCTGAGGCTCGACTATCTCTTCTTTCTAGAGTTCTTGGAATTTCCTTATCCTTTTTCTCAACTGGTTTGTTCTCTTTGATAACTGGTTTCTTTGCTTGTTCTTTCTGTTCCTCGGTTTCTTCTTTCACGTCAGGCTCCTTTTGTGGTTCTGTAGGTAGGAGCTTTCGCCTAGTTATCTACACAGAAAAGAAACTTATTAGCCACAGAGGAAATTATTAATTTTCTAATATATATAAATATACATATGTACACACAAATGCATGCATGCATACAGTGATCACAGAAACAGAGAACTGCATACAATAACAGCCCAGAGAGAAACAGTGAGATGAATACATTCAAACAGTAAGATGAATACATTCAAACAGTAAGATGAATACATTCAAACAGTAAGATGAATACATTCAAACAGTGAGATGAGTACATTCAAACATTGAGATGAATTCATTCATGTACTTTCCCACGAGGGTTTGAGGGATCCATTTTGGAGAACAGAATAGACCTACTGCCACCTCTAACAAGTATGTTGCAGAAGGTGACCAATCTGGGACGTTCCATTCAAAGTCCGAGTGCATCTGCCTCAAAGGCAAGGAACCAACAGTCTGTATACCAAAAAAAAAAAAAAGCTAGATCCTCAAAAGGGGTGTAAATGCAAAACTTTGGATCAAGACCAAATTCCAGGAGATTAGGACTTTTCGTTAAGAGTTTGCAGTCAGTGAATGCAAAGATGAAGATTTCTGTTCATTGTTTCTTCTTCCTTTTTGTCCACCTGAAAGATGTAATTACAATTTGCCTGTTTGCAGCAAAAGCTGCAACATCTGAGCCTTTCAGCCGACACACCCAACTTCACCAAGCATTTGCTGACCGAGTTAACTTCTTGGGTTCTTTGTTTTATTATGTGACTCATGGATCTAATTATTAACCAAAAAAAATGTGATTTTACTCAATATAAAATGGATTAGCACGCATCATGTATTGACACTGATATATCTCATTAAATCCAGAGTTTATTATTAACTATAAGAAAGTTGCAAATACTTTGGACAACCAGAGCAATTAACAATGACTGCCTTAAGAAAAAACATTATAAGCAATTAACTGGGAGAAAAACTTCAAGAGTTCTTTTCAGGGCTACTTGGTGGCAAACACTTATTAGCCATAAATATGGCGCAAATTAACATAGACCATAATAAAATCTATAGCTCTCCTGGGTGGATAGCTGGTTAAATGGGATTGATATTTTTTCTTCATCATCGCATCAACATAAATTGTTATCAGAACGCTCAACGGAGAGAATTAAAAAGAGGTGCAAAAATACAATCGAACATTTCAACCAGTTTCACTGTAATTCGTTTATCAACAGAATAAAACTTTGGTTGAAAAATTCTTTACCCAGAAAACAAAGAACTGAATTCCGTAGAAAAGCACATGATGATGATTAATGGCTTTTACCATCATGAGGCCGGATTAGAGAAAAAGAAGAAGAAGCTAGTTAAACTGCACTTTTTTTTTTTTAAATTAAGTCCATGGCTCAGTACAAATAGGAGTACATGAACCAAATGGTTTTTAGTTAAAATGCAAGCAAACAGTGGAATTCTGACTCACCCTCTTTTTTGGTGAATCCTTCACTGGAGTTGTTATCTCTAGCTTTACTTCTTCCTTGCTTTCCTCTTCCTTCTGCTTCTTGTTTCCTCTTGCAGATTTCTTTTCCTCTTTATCTCCTTCTTTCTCTTCCTCCCCTTTAACTTTTCTGGCTGACTTTCTCTCTTCCTTTTTAGCACTATCGTCATCCTTCTTGACTTTGGCCAGCTCATCTTTTTTCACCTTTGAGACTGGTGTAGTTTCTTCCTTCTTCACCTTAGACACAGGTGTGTCTTCTTTTTTGCTCTTAACAACAGAAATATCATCTTTCTTCTCTTCTTTTTTGTTCTTCAAAGGTTCATCTTTCTTCTCTTCTTTTTTGTTCTTCAAGAGTTCATCTTTCTTCTCTTCTTTTTTGTTCTTCAAGAGTTCATCTTTCTTCTCGTCTTTCTTGTTCTTCAAAGGTTCATCTTTCTTCTCCTCTTTCTTGTTCTTCAAAGGTTCATCTTTCTTCTCCTCTTTCTTGTTCTTCAAAGGTTCATCTTTCTTCTCCTCTTTCTTGTTCTTCAAAGGTTCATCTTTCTTCTCATCCTTTTTCGTCTTTTCTGCCTCTTCTTTCTTCTCTTTGATTTCATCTTTCGGAGTCAGGGCTTTGGCATCTCTGCGTGGCGTCCTGCGCATGACTACATCCTCATCATCTACTGATACTATACTTGCAGCATCCTGATTCTCCTCCTGTTTATCTAGTATTACCTCTGGCTTTTGTTTCACAGCTCCAGCCTCATCTTTACTCTGCAGAAATAAAACAATTGGCACACTATTACTGAACAGTTAGTTGTTCAATCCTCAGACTTCATAGATTTTGGTGTATCACTGTAATATGGGGCAATAATTAAAATAATCTCTTTCTTCTTTGCATTAACCAGCTGTCAATTCCTGAGGAAAGTTATGGTTGTTCGTCCACTTCCGGACTGTAGTCCTGAGTGTTGCATGTGCAACCATATTTAAGATCTGATCCATCTGTATGCAAATTTGTTTCCTAGCCTCTGATTAAGATGCATTACAACATCAAAGGAAGCTCCTAATTTGTCAACTCTTACGAAATGCCTTTGGGTAGGCAGTTGGTCTTTTTATGTTTTCCCTAAAACAGGGCCCAGGAACACACACAGGGAATTCATATAATGATATACATCAAATTATTATAAACAACAGTCACAGCTTGTCTTGGGAAGTAAACGCAGTCAGCCTGGTGCTGATCACATCCCCCATTGAGTGACACATGGTCTATAAAAAAAAAACCTGAGTCTACCATCATATGCCTGACATGCCAATGGCATGAAGTTAAGTCTTTCACAGTCTACTGAAAAAAAGGGAGGTCTACAAATATGGCAAAACAAGAACCACAAAACAAATGGACACCACGCTGCATGCATTGTCAATAAGGAGAAGCATAACCTTTCCTAAAAGGAATGAAGGAAGGAGGAAATGAATCACAATAATCTTAGTCTTAGTCTCTGCAATCGGGTCACAACATACTAGCTCCACTCCGGTGCCAGTGAAAATCAAATGAAATATCTCTTACTGTCTCATTTAAAAAACTGGTGAACAAACAACTGTATAGGCTCAGTACAGAAATATGTGCACCCAGCTGCTAGAGGTGCCAAAGCCAACAGTCACCACCAGAAATGCACTTCTCTGCTGATGAAAGTAGTCTGTCACAATAAGCTGACTATACACACATAAAAGGTATTTCACCTGCCCACTTTTAAACCCACCACAATGAATATCATGACTCAGCCGCTGCACAATCACAATACAAAGTATGACTAACTAGTGTGGGTGTGGTCTTTTCTGTGGGCTTAGGAGTCCTGGGGCTTTTTTCTTTAGCTCTAGGGTTCAAGATACTGCGACCTCCTGTACTCTGTCTGCCTCGGCCTGGTCTGCTCATGGTACCCATAGTGCTCCCCAGCTTGCGGTAGAATGATTCAAAGGCATCCAGATATCTGTGGATCATAATTACACACAAGAGATTAGTCACAGAAAGAAAAAAAAAACAGCAAATTCAAGAATTGTAATTAGCTTATTGAAATGATCGCCAACATCTGACATAGTCTACCATCTCTCAACCTCACCGGTCACTCCTAAAAATTATGAGATGACAACTTGATAACTGTATGTGAGACATAAAACTTGATAAAATATGTGAGACAATCACTTAATAACAGTATGTGAGATGATAAACTTGAAAAAGTATGCAAGATGCCGATTTGAGATCACTATGTGTGATGATAAACTTGATAATAGTATGCGAGACGCCAACATAACAGTATGCGAGAGGACAACTTGATAACAGTCAGTATCGGAGATAACAACTTGATAACAATCTGTCTGAGTGTACCATATGGACAAAGGACAGAAAATGTATATACCATAATTGACTTTCAATATGAGCATAACACTATATGATGTTGATGAGGCAAAAGATCTTACAGAAGTTCAAAAGCAATCAAACTATATTCCACATTAATAATACAAATCAGAATAGTAGAAGTTTAGCTGTATCAACAGGAAGGTACTATTAAAACTGCCCATGGCTGTTACTGAACAGAAAAGGTAAATAATAGTTACTTTTTGTATGCAGATTTGATCTGGTGGGCTGGATTTTGATGGAGGGATGGCAAGCCCATTTTGCTGTACACAACTGGCCACTTCATTTCTTTGGTTACCTGGTAATTAGACATGGTTAGCAATAGATATGCATGCAACATTCACGTTGTGAAACAAGACTAGAGTCCATAAATGGACGAACAACCAGAATTTTCCACCAGAGTTTAATGCTGGTTAACGCCAACAAGAATATTCATACATTTTAACTGTTCTTCTCATACAGATAACAAAATTGTTAGGAATAGTCAATGTTTCTCCAATAACTACTGTAACAGCAATAGTAGCAGCAACAATTACTGCTATAAATCAGCTACCAGTGCTACAACCACCCACTGACATTACAATAACCAGTTCTGCTATTATTAGAACCACCACCCCAACTACCACCATTACCATCAATACTATTAGTTCTGCTACTATGAGTACCAGTAGTCCAAATGGTTTCACTATTTCACTATTACTCAACTAACCATCACTACCAATTCTATAATCATCATCATTATCAACATAAACTACTTCTGCCATTAAGCCTCGTGGGGAGGAATAATTTGCGATCCAGTGCACATTGGCTACCACTGACTATTGTCATGCCGTGAAGGCGCAGAGTGTCTCTAATGCTGTTGATCCATGTTTTCCGCGGCTGTCCTCTTGCTCTTGTAGCTGATCTTCTGAGATGTAGTGCTTGTGATGGTATTTGATCTTGCCTCATTCTATAATACTACTATAAAAAGACCAAAAGGTGGATAGGACTCACACTGAGAAAACCGGAGAACAATATAACTAGAATGTCTTTGCACTGGAACCCACAGAGGCACAGGAATAAAGGAAGGCCAAAACACACATGGAGAAGGGAGCTGGAGAATGAAGTCAGAAAGATGGGGAGAACATGGTGAGAGCTGCATGCAACAGCAAAAGATAGCAAACGATAAAACGACTTGGCATGAGTTGGTTGAGCCTATGCTCTATTGTGGGCTAGAAAGGCAGAAGAAGAAGACTACAACAATTACCAATTCCACTACTAATAACAGTGTACCCTCTTACAAATAAAAAGCTCCAAAATGTTTCTCCTGGAAATTTAATTACACGCAAGATTTTGATAACAATTCAGACGGTTCAGAGCAGTGGACTCACATGTGGCAGACCCAGGTTGGAATTCTTGGTAAGACTGTGGAATTGCTTCTGTCGGGTCACAAATAAAGTCCTAACTTGAATAGTCCATGGCAACAGCTACAGTGATGCAGTTCTAAATCCCTAGGCACAAAGACCACAACCCCCCCCCCTTCCCCCAGTCTTACACCGTGAATGTGGGCAAATATGGAAATTAAGGGCAATTATTCTCCATTCCTTTATCTATGAACGCCGTAATAGCCCCTTTCACTCATCAACAAGCACAAAAATAACTTGTGATAAAGACTACAATAAAATCAACACAGCTAAACAACGCTCACCTTATTATAGCCTCCAAGCTTCTCAACTATTTTATACAACTTGTACAAGTTCAGATCTTTGTTCCCAATGCAGGGCCCCTTATTAATTGGTGTGCCTCGTTCATCCATAAACTTATACAGCTGAGCAACAAATCTATCCTTCTCTTCAAATGGTTCATCTTCCGAAGCCTTAAAAAAAAAGAATTATCAAATAACTTTATAACAAAGACTGTATTTAGTATATTATTACTAGAGATATTGGTTTGAGAATGACATTTCTTCAATTACAGGCTGCTAACGCCAGTGAAAAAAATTCTGGCTGTTCATCCACTTCTGGACTTTGCTCTTGTTCCAGAAGTTTTGCATGCACATCCGTTTTACAGATCTGGCTTATTTGTATGCAGACTTGGTTCCTTGCTTCTCAGGCAGATGCACTACGATGTTGAAGTAAACATCCCTAATAAGCCACCTCCTATGACATGCTAAAGGGCATGTCTGCAGTGGGTTTATTCTTTGTACTCCAAACTGGAGCCCTGGAACCCAGACGGAAATGGATTGAATATCAAGAAATGAGTCACAATAAAGACTAAGGTTAGGAATTATCATCATCCCACTGTGCCTTATACACTAAACAGGGTTCGTAGTTAAATTCTCCACGCTGTTCTGTCCTGCGCAAAATATGCGTTGTTTGTTTACAGTAGGGTCGTTCAACTAACTTTACTCAGGTACTAAAATGTTAGAGAATGGTGATTGTCGCAGACCAGAGGCCTGAGCCCCAGCATAAAAAGATGATACAATACAATGGGTAGGTGATCCGTGGGCCACTTATGACGCTTCCGCTGGCCAGTTCTGACTCTTGGGCCGCAAGCTAAATAGTCCTGGTTTACAGCGCAGCCGCAACATTTGCGCCTTTTGGCTGACAAATCCTACTTATGGTATTTGTTATAAAGGTTAGCCTTCCCGGATAGCTTGTGGCACATTTGTAGCCTCATTTGTGTTGTGACTTCATCATCCCCTCATCCATTGATGTTGTCCCTGGTAAAATTGAGGAAAACTGAATCAACATATTTCAACATCCAAAGACAGAAAATACTTACATATTCATCTTCCACATCCTCATCTCCATCGTCTTCTACGTCTGAGCCTAGCATTTCCTCCTTGTTCCAACCAACTGGCAACTCCTTAGTGTCGTAATACAGAAGAGCTTTCTCAAAAGCTGATGTTCAGGACAGAGAATAAATTTGGTTTATTTTTTTAATTACCAAAAGATTGTTGGCTTATTTCTTTATAATAAAATGTGCTGAATTATTAAGCTAGTTGGCATTCAAAATATATTTGGCTTATTTCTTAATCATAAAATGAGCAGAAATATTAAGCTCTTTGGCACTAAAAAGATATTTGGCTTATTTCTTAATCATAAAATGAGCTGAATTATTAAGCTCTTTGGCACTAAAAAGATATTTGGCTTATTTCTTAATCATAAAATGAGCTGAATTATTAAGCTCTTTGGCACTAAAAAGATATTTGGCTTATTTCTTAATCATAAAATGAGCTGAATTATTAAGCTCTTTGGCACTAAAAAGATATCTGGCTCATTTCTTAATTATAAAATGTGCTGATTTATTAATATGCTATTTAGCATTTAAAAGTAAAATCAACGCAGCAGTTAGACACCCACCTGCAAGCCCTAATGTCTAGGGTTAAAATCGGCACTGTGGTGGAAATGTTTCAAAACGGACCTTGGCTCCCAGGTTGACCCAGCCAAAAATGGGTACCAGATAATGTTTTGGGAAGTAAAGGTGACCAGTGTGATGCTGATCAAATTGCCCATTAACTGCCGACTAATGTATACAAATATAGGTCTGACACTAAACGCCTGATGCAACAAAGGCATTGGAAGGATCCTTCACTATATTACCAATGCAGTGGTTTAGAAACAGAAATCGAAAGCATGGTTCACAAAAATTTGTGGCATAAAGGTGAACTGAGAACATTGCAGGACATCTTGGTATGACAGCACACGAGGCAGGAAAACTAGCAAAATACAGCCTTTCTGACTGGGTCGATAGCAGCAATCTTCTTCTGCATAACTGGTGATTCTTTTTCTGCCTTTAAATATTGTGATGACTGGAAAGATCACTAGCAGAAGAGACAGAAGCAGCCCAAGAGATATGATAGTGGGTGGCTGAAGACAGTGGCATAGAGGATTATCATCAGTAGAATTGATCCAGAACACCAAAGATCGAGATCTGTAGCGACACACGAACGACTACGCCAGCTGGCAAGACACTTGATGATGATGAATACATTCATTAAAGTATGCAAAAACCAATGTATACGGCTACCGTATTAAAATAGCTGAATAAAAAACCTTGAGGACATTTACATTTAGTTATACCTGTTCTCATTGTTTTTTCATCATTCTTGATTGCTATAGGTCTGGAGAAATCTTTCAGTACTTTACGTGTAACAGTCAAACTGAAAAGATTTAAAAAAAAAAAAAAAAAAAAAAAAAAAAATTAATAATACCACTGAAAGAAATTATACCCATGGTAAACATATGGACGAGCGGCAGAATGGTTAAAATGCTAGATTTTCATGCGGGAGACTCAGGTTCAATCCCCTTAAAGGGAGGTTTTCTTCTGTTGGGAGCAAAATATAAATATCCTAGCTTGCAAAGTTTGTGGCAACAGCACTAGCCATGCGAACTTAATCATCTTAAGAAGCTGCAAAACTGATACTTCCTACTAGGGGCCAATTTCACATAAATGTAATGTTTTGGACTTGTCTATAGCGAACTGTTTATGAGATGTATAGTTAATGCTATGGATGCGTTCATGCCTCTGTAAACGTTTATGAGGTCAGGATGTTAATATTTAATTACCAAAACAAACCCCAAAAAATGTGGTGGAGGGAGGTCTTTCAAACTAAATGTATTTTATTTGTTATGCCCAATTGGGGTCAAACAGTCCTGTACACCTCAGTCATAGAGATCACAGCATAAGTTACCTGATACATATATTTGCATGCCATTAGGAAAGTATTCTATTTAATGATTAACTCTGTTCATGGTTACTGATTCCTCCCTTTAAATGTTCATCTATCTTTATTCCTCCTTTTAAATGTTTATCTATCTTTATTCCTCCCTTTAAATGTTTATCTATCTTTAAAAAAAAAGCACTGTTGTAGCACTGCTTGGGGGAAAATCTTAAACCCTGTGGCTCAGGTCCCCCACTAAAAATTATAAATACAGGCAGTAAAAGACAATATATACATATAACTCTTTATTACAGTATTAAATGTATAAATGATGCACACAGATACTAAACTATGTTAACAATTATAACCAATGCGAGTTTTAACTATAATAAAATTGACAAATAACAGGTGAAATGAATATATTAATAAATTCTGTATTTTCAAATAAAATTGAGCAAACTTACAATTTGGAGTCTTTGAAAGATCTTACAAGAATCTGATCTCTATTTTTAACTTCATTGAGACTATTGGCGTCTGGCAACACAACAAGAGCAGGTATCATAGAGCCTTTACGATTGGGGAAGTCCACAAGCATCAGTTTGCCAACAAGCTCCTGATGACGACCTCGGTACATAGCACGGCGAGGCGACTCCTCCTCTGAGCCATCTTCTCCTTCGTCACCACTTTCATCGCTGGTAACAAAACAGCAAGATGTTTAGTTGTGAAGATACACAGGAATGATGAGAAAACTTGTCTTCAATGAAATATTTATATATTGTGTGCATTCTGCTATACAGTGGTTGATACTTTTCTCTGTCCTATGAATAAGCTGAATATATCTTAAATGTGGTATGATACAGAGCACTGACTGATAATTTCACAGCGAGATGAAGACAATTGTTAAATTCAATCAAATCTAACTAACTAGAGACATGTTTCAATATTAAAATGAGAAGAAACTTTAAAAAGTGCACTAAGCTGTCTACATACATAGGAGTTTATTTTTAGTATCTTTCTTAACATTACCCAGCAGTAAACTAGAAAACTGTTCACCCATTTCTGGACTTAAATTTTGTTTCAGCCTAGCAAAGCCATTTTACAGATCTGGCTTATTTGTATGCAGACTGTTGGTTCAATGCCTCTCAAGCAGATGCACTAAGAAGGAAACATCCTGAATTAGTCACTGTTTATGACATGCTGGATAGAGGGGCAGTAGGTCTATCCTACTAAATCCAAAACTGGGCACGGGACAAGCATGTCACAAAAAGCAACTAATTATGGCCTTTACTGAAATCAGTTGAGTCAAGCGGTGCAGATATCACAACCTAGCTGTAAACCACAACACAATGTGTCAATCACCCTTTTAAGCGTGAATGCAGAAGAAGTGACAATTCGCAAACTTAATGGGAAAACAACAGATTAATACTTCAATGGACGGACCACATGACATAATCATGATAAGAACACAGACCTCTTCAAAGATTCTAGTGATTGTGTAAGATGGTAGATCAGGGGTGGGCAACCTTTTTTTTGGTCTGCGAACCAAATTTAGAATTTAATACCTGGTCGAGGGCCTCATAAATAAAATCTGATTTAAACATAACATCCAGACACAACATTTTTGTTGGATAAGATTATAATCCCTTGTTACACCTGTGACCAGATGTGTTTGTTCAAGCTGGTTATCTGCAGAATCATATAATTCAGGGAAAGTGGTACGGGGTGGAGGCACCAGATTATACAGTCATTTTACACTAGACTCGCAGGCAATAGCTTGCCCACTCCTGCAGCAGATAATCACAGCGGAATGATCAGTGTGGCCCATGATTTATTTTTGTGATAACACTTCTTGTAACAATGCGCTGCAACACACTAGTGTTACTTACTCATTTTTCCGTTTACTTTTCTTGTTCTGTAAAACTGGTGTTCCAAAGTGTTCTGGGTGTGACAGTGGCAGATTGTCTAAAGTCTGTGGATAGAAAGAAAACACAAATACACCAATGTCACAATCACCTACCTCACGGGACATTTTATATATATATATATATATATATATATATATATATGAGAGAGAGAAAGAGGGGGAGGGGGAGGGGGAGAGAGAGAGAAAAGAGAGAGAGAGAGAGAGATCCTGGGGATGCAGATACACAGAAGAATATGCTGTATTTCCTTAAACAATAAAAATCATCCAATACAGTTCTGAGATGATGGAACGAAAAAAGTTATTGAAAAAAAAAAGAAGGCAAGTACACTTTCCCAACATTAAAGATATACCATTCTTATAAAATCCATACTGGAGGAAAAAGCTGAAGGTTGGTGAGCAACAATACAGGAACTGGATGCTGGAAAGAGTGCACAATAAGAGTGAGAGAAAGAGTATGTTAGAAGTCCAGTGCAGGCAAATGTTCCCTGCAGAGATAATATCTGATTGACTGACGCTTGAATACCTTCTGCTGAGCTTAATGTTTTGCCCGATTAATTTCTTTAAAAAAAAACAGCCGCGAGGCCCTAAATCCTGAACTTAAAAGCATACCCCCCCCCCCCCCCTTAAAAAAAATGATAAATACAGGCCATAATGACATTTCTTATTTCCTTAAATGTAGAACACTGCTTAATGTAAAGTTAAAAACTTTTTGTACTGAATGCATGGATGCAAGCACAAATAGTAAGAAGGTAAGTCTAATGTACAAGACCAAAAAGACATCAACATAGGAGAGAAGAGACACAATTTAAAAAAAAAAAAAAAAACACCCACAATCTCATGGATAAGAATGTAACCATCAAGGACTAAACTTGCTGCAAAGAGCCTTACCGTCTCAAGATATATTTATTCTTTTGTCAAAATCTGCTTGTGCCGCTAGGCGTCGCAGTCTACCAGATGATCGGCAACCGAGCCAGGGCGCGCTCAGTCGCTTCATATGCCGTGATGTTATGAAGTCTCAAGTTGTCCGTGACTCCTTCAATCCATCTTCTTCTTGGTCTTCCCCTGCCTCTTGTTGTTTCAATTTTCATGTTGTATGCTCTTGATGCTGGCATCGTTGGTTCCATTCTCATTAGGTGACCAAACCATTTCATTCTTTGCTTCTCAATAAATTTAACGATGGGTCAAGATATATTTAACACCTACAATCTATTACATTTCTGAGACTCACCTCACTTTCAATAAAATGTTTATCTCCTTTCAAACACAGCTGACTTCTCCTCAAAGTGCGCTCATCACCGTCATCAAACACTGCAGGGTTCAAACAATAGTATCAGAATTATTTCAAATACAGTCTGATAAAGACTGAAATTAATCTCTCTATTAGCAGCTTATACTGCTAGTACACAAATAAAAAGTTAGTTGCACATCTTTTACAGCAGGGCCATTCAACTGGTGGATGCAAGCCAATCTGGTGGTCTGCAAACCAATCTGGTAGTCTGCAAGCCAATCTGGCCAGCAGAGGCCTACCAATGGGCCAGTGGATCATTGCTAACTGTATTGTATTAATGATCTTTCTGTGCTGAGGCTTGGGCCTCTGGCCCATGACGATCTCCATTATCAACATTTTGACCCTTGAGTAAACTTAGCTAAATAGCCCTGTTTCACAGGATGTTGCAGACCAACCCCAGCATTAGTTAACTGTCTGTTGTTTTATGGGCAATTTTATGTTCAGGAATTTGTCATTGCTTTCTAAACTCTTCACTTACTACTGTCGAGATCAGTGCAAAGCAGTATGCTGCCAAATCACAACCACAGCCGAATTAAACTGGGCATTTCTAAATTATGAATCTGTTATTAACTCCTAAACTATAGACGTCAAAAGTATAAAGATAATCGAACATATATTTGAAAGCAGATTTTGAAAGACTGCTTAGAAATCCTTCATGGAAATTGTAATTAGAATTCAACCAGTATGCCACGGCAGGTTGATTGATTATAACGCGTAGTTTAAATTTTTAATTGTTTTGCACTGTCAATCAGGTCATCCAGGGCTTGAATCTATTACAGTGAAGCTCCTGTAGAGACTTTACTCCTGACTGTTACTGTACTTCAGAGTTTTTTTACCTCTTAAAAAAACAAAAATACTCTTATCTGGGTAAGGATTCAGCATCACAGCATTTAGGACAAGCCGATATTACTTCCATCTCCCTTCTTAACAGCCAGCAAAGAGTCTCCATACGGAAACCTGTTGTCCTCTGGTTAACTACCCCAAATCCAGAAAAAGCATCACTATCATGTTTACTCATTGTCCTGTTGTGCCATAATATGTTATATAGGAGTTGCAATCGATTTCTCCATTCCGTTCTATCCTAGGCAATCACTTCAATATTTGGATAGAATCCAGCCTAGCACCTCTGGCTTCTCACTTCAATATTTGGATAGAATCCAGCCTAGCACCTCTGGCTTCTCACTTCAATATTTGGATAGAATCCAGCCTAGCACCTCTGGCTTCTCACACCAACTTTTGCCTTGGGTTTTCTCTTGGACGTCTTTGTTTCCTCATTTCCATGACTGTTCAGTGATTCTGTTTTTCTCTTCTCAGAATGCGATGAAGATGGCACTATTTTCTCTGTCTCATAACTGTTGACACTAGTGTTTACCCATATCATGTTGAATTCTTAATTCAACATATCATGGAAAGATAAAACTGAACAAAAAGTCTATCAGCCAGCGTCACAATATAGCAAGCACAAACAAAGAGTGAACGCTGTGTATTTTCATCACTTCTCTTGAATTTATCCCATTATATGTTCAGCATTTTCCTCACATATGTTCACGCCCAACCCTCCTTTCTCATCCAGGTCTGGGACTGGCTTTGGCGGAGATTTACAGCCCTGCTGATAAGTATAGGTGGTCATGCTCTGCAATCCCATATGATACCAGAATCACGGATTAGGTGAGTGCTCGTATCGCTCCCATCCAAATGAGCAAGGCATCAAATATTTATTTCTTTGCCTTTTCCTTGCTCTTTCCAATCAATTTTACTAGTTATCAAGTTCTCAAGTTCATTCCTTCTCATAAAACGTCTAAAGAACACTGATTGTCTAGTGTAAATTCTGTAATTAGAGGGAGCAACACATCAAGAGAAGTCTTAGCAGTGACAGTACTGAGAAAACACGATGTCAATGCTTCTAGGAGTGGACAATAGGTAATTATAAAGTTGTGGAGCAACAATGTCGAAGAATATACCAGTCATTACACGAAATAACATCTCAAAACACTCATTTAGCATGCAAATGAACCAAAACTCACCAACTGTGTATGAGCTGTGGTCTATCAATTTGTTGATAGTTCCTTCTACAGGCTGTCCTGTTTCTGGATGCTTTACTTCCACCAC